AAAAAACATGGAAGCTCTGTATTTCAAAGATGACTCTAGTAAAACATCAACTGTGCTACATTTTTGGAAAGGTAATTTCAAGCTATATTGAAATATGCCGGAATATTTAAGGTGTCTCATCAAAAAAATACTTTTCCATCAATTAATATTGATATCTGAAGAATGGTTCTCTTCAAATGGATTAGTTTTGAACATGGAGAAGACAACGTTCATAAGATTTAGTTACTCAAATAATAAACTCGACCACAGCTTGTTGCTAAAATCTAACGGCAGATCTATCACTCAAGCACCTTCAACGAAGTACCTTGTGCTGCATGTGGATGAACGCTGTACATGGACTACCCATATAAATGAAGTGTGCAAAAAACTAGCTCCAAAGTGTACCAACTCCTGTACCAACTCAGGAAGACCGTAGAAAAATCTGTATTGATGATAATATATTTTGCACACCTTCAGTCAGTAATGACATACGGAATCATAGTATGGGGAGTCTCACAGGAGGCCGATAGGGTACTCAAGAAAATCCTTATGGCACTCTAAGAGCGGTGCCTGTGCTAAAATAACGATCCACGTTGAATTTGAATCGCTGGAGATTAAATGGATTTGGAAAAATGTTTTCAAGAAGTTTATTCCACATCAACGCAATTCTCCAAATGAAAGAGTTATTTCCCAATGGAGTTCGAGGTGTACTGAGTTGAACCTCATAACGATGATCAGACAAAGTCCGTCTCGTATTTCTGATATGTACCGCTCTTGGTGGAATCAACTGGAATAAAAAAAATGAAAACTTACCATATTCCAGTAGCCTGTAATAGGGTAGTCGTAATAGACCACCAGTCGTTTGATGATTTTCAAAATTATTTGGGACACTTTCTACAAAAAACGTTCGTGATGTAACAACTATTGTATGTAAATCAGAATGTTACTTAGTCCATTCATTCTGAATAGAATCAAGTATTCGAAGTTTTCATCAGTTCGGGTTTTCCAAATACACTGAGATGAAAAATGCGTGTAGTGATGAAAATGAAGGACAGATTAAGGGAGGTACGTGTTTTTATTTTTCTCCATCTTCTTGTTGCTGAAATTTGCATCATAAATTGAGGATTTTAGCGTACTCATCAATCAAACAAATCGTTTGAGTTGAACAAAATTGTTGATTTTGCTATTGAATTTGATCCTGGAATTATTGTCCAATCATTTCTATTGTGAATAAAAAAAATCGACCGTATTGATTTGATGAGTATACTTTACAAAATCTACCAATTATCATTTCGAATAAGCCCATTTCCAATCTTTTGATTCTCCATCAAAGAGTAGTACTACATGAGTTATTATAAATAGGGGTGAAGAACGATATTTTCTATATGTGAATAAACAAAAACAACGGGTTTTTCAGTTGCTTGGCTGGCGTCTCACTTGTGCATTTCTTTTCATTCGCAAAAAAACATTACAACCTCATGAGCTCATTGCCTCTTTCCATGGCACCCAGTAAAACAATTTTATTTTCTGTACTCGCATGAAATAACGCTGAGATCTTCATAATAATACAGCCCTAATTTATTCAGTTGTCCTCAAAATGAAAGTTTTTCGATGCGTGTTCTTGGATGTATTTTTCCAGTAGTCTTCCTGCTATAAAAGATAATATTGAAACCTCTAACGTAATATAAAACCAGAACGAGCACTTTTTCCAATCACCAGAAATGCATTACTCTTCTTGACGCGCCTTTCACCAACCAAGTAAGCGTTTTCACCAGATAAAGAAAACTTCCACACAAAAACTGACCTCTTTTTATATCCAACATGTTACTCTTTTACTTTCCGATAAACATCAATGATTTCTGATAGAAATTTACGGAAAATTTTCTCGTGAGATTTTCCGCAAACTTTAATAGAGTGATTCGTAAAAAAGAGTACAATGGGTTGTTCAGAATTGGACTTTAGTCACTGTTAATAGTTCTAATACTTCACTGTGCTATTTCCTGACTTTCAAAAGCATCCAAAAGTCTAGTGTCAGAGACGTTTCATTTATTCTGTGGCCGTTCTCCGGAGCGTGTTGAGCAATCCTAGTTTTGTTTGTCTTCGAAATCAGATATGTGTTTCGTGTTTTTTGAAACGAGTTTCAATGGCTCGTTTAGTCTGACCGATATATTTTTTATGTCTGTCCTCGCAGCGTATTCCATATTCTCTCGACTTTTTATTTTCCAACACATTGTCTTCATGGTAACCTAACACTAATTAGTTAGTGTACCTTGATTCTTACGGAGAGACAATAAACTTTTTGAAATATTGAAGATTTACGAAGTTTCTCCTTTAATGTTCGTTTCCTAATTAACTTATCTATACGGTCTTTTATTAAGCGCTTCCTAGCTTCAAATTTTAATAAAACAAAGCGTGTTTGAGATTTCATTGTAATTTTGTATTCTTTCGAAAGACATATTGAAGCCATTATGTGTGGAGTATAACATTATTCAAATGTCCACCAAGGCTTCTCTCAGTGGAGCGAATCCGAAACGTCCAATTTTCCATGACAGACGCATAAATCGCATTCACCTACGACTTAAGAAAACCCCAAACGAATTAGTTTAACGGAATCAAATCGTACGATCTTGGTGGCCAGTTTATATCACCTCCGTGCAGAATATCCCATGTGGCATGAGCTGCGTGGCACGTTGAGCCGTCCTGTTAAAGTGCAGAGGTTCTTAAACTTATTTTGTCTACCGCCCACTTCGAGAATTAATTATTTTCTAGCACCCCCTTCCCCCCCAATCTATTTACTTTACTACATCTTAAGAATCACAATCGCAATCATTATTTTAATAATTAAATCATGTTATTGAAACAAACATTTCAATTTGAATTTTAAAACTAGTCTAATGTGAAGGATGAATTTGATGATTTTTAACAAGTTTGTTAATATCAGGTTCGAATTTACTCAAAAACAGCCGTAAGTCACCGCGTTCGGTAATCTGCAACCGATTCCTCTTCTTAGTGCCACAGCACTAAATCCACGTTCACACAAATACGATGATGGGAATGCTATCAAAAATCGTTGAACGTTGGACCACAATCCAGGATACAATTGCGGGATTGGCTTTTGTAGCCAAAATTCTTGATATCCATTTTGGAATTTTATTTTTATTTTCTCGTCCGTTATCAGTTCTATGAGTTATTTTTCCAGCTGGGGTGATCCTGCTGTGTTGACATTTGAATAAGGATTCAACACCCAGTCCGGTATTTCCAATTTTAAAATGTTCTGGAATCGTTCCGCGAAATCACTGTGGGGGTTCTCCAAATGTTGGCAGTAAACAAGCAAGTCGTCGTTGTTGAAGGATACTGCTGACATATTAGGGAAATTGCGAAACTCACGTCTGCCGTTATTATTCTTGTATAAGAGCAATTTGGCTACGAAAGCAGCAATGACCTTTTTTGTTTTAATCAAATTCAAGTCGTCACCTTGAAGTTGGAGATTGACATCATTGAATAATGTATACAGGTCTGTCAAGTACGTAATATCATTCTTTGAAGTGATGAGGTTGTCGTGCAATTCTTTGTCTTTGTTTTCCAAAAACTATATTACAGAGTCGAATATATTGTGAAATCGAGTCAGACAGTTACCTCTTGATAACCAACGCACTTCTGTCTGAAATAACAATCGGTTGAAATCTTCATCATTAGCAACGCAAAGCTGATTTTGTAGCCTTGGGGGTTTCATCGCTTCATTCAAAAATGTTTTTTGACAAAGAAGGTACATAGACGAAGATGGATTTGTGGGATTTTCAATAAATCCATATTTTATATACTCCGCGCTACTGCCGTTTCTTCTTCTTTGCTTCTGACATAATTTTGTCTTCAGAAATGCCGAAGTAAAGAATCGAGTATTATAAACTTGCTAATGACACCACTCACAGTATTCACCACCACACTTGTTTTCGTAATATCGTCAAATGACTTTACTGGCTGGATGGCGCGGGCGCTTTTATATGAGGCAGCGGGCGGGCCTAGTACTTTCGAAATTGAAGACTAGAAACTTATGCCTTCACATTGAAGTTTACCGCCATCTATTGTACAGTTTGACAACTATCGGATAGGAAATAGTTACTGTCTAGTCTCCTAGATGGCGTTACACGAGGAAACGCGTGTTAAGCGTAAAGGAGCGGTAAAGTTTGTGTTGAAGCAAAAACACATTTTTAAATTAGCCATCGCCCCTCTGAACCGCTTCAATGCCCCCCAATCTTCTCTGTGCCCTTTACTGACCCCCTATAGGCCTCCAGCGCCCACAAGAGGGCGTTATCGCCCACTTTGTTAAAGCAACATGTCGTTGGTATCCAGATCATCCAATTCAAGCAAATACAAGTTGGTAAACATCGTCCCATAGTGCTCGCTGTTGACAGTGATGGTCTGGCCAACGTCGTTCTCAAAGAAATATGGACCGATGACGCCGCCAGCCCCAAATCCACACCAAGCAGTGACTCTTTCGGGATGCATTGGAGGCTCTTGGATCTCATATGGCCCAGATTTGACAATTTCGTTTGTTCACGTTCATCGCTGAAGATGATTTTGTCGATGAAAATTAGGGCCAGTGGTCTAAGAAAGACCAAGTTCTTGTGTGCGACGCGAAATCGACTAAATCGGATTCCCCTGCAGACTCTCACAGACAGCTGCGATGTTTTCGGCAGATCTTGCGTTTCCTCGGCGTACGAATGTTAGTCCATCATTCAATGAACCAATGGATAGAAACGTATCCACCACAATGCGAATAGTCCTCTCGATAGGAATTATTAAAATGTTGGGAAAGTCATAGGGAATCATGAAGTGACCTTCGAAATTGAATCACTCACAGTGTATTTTCATCAAACATTGAAAGATATCTTAATTTTCAAGTCCATTGCACACATTACTCGTACTGACATTGCCCGTGAACTTACGATATAAATTCACCAAATCAGCATAAATGATTGTATGTAAATAATATTTTCACACAAGACTTTTGTTCTGATGAGCCGGACAGTTAGGTTCAACTATTGAAAAGTCGGTTTTGTGTTATCAGTGAAGTAAAATTTTCAAATTCGAAAAATGCAATCTTCCAGAAGAATGCGTCAGGACAGAAAAAGAAGAGGTATTTCCACGATATTGATGATTACTCTTCATGTACAAATTTTGATAAAAGGAGTTAGCAAACTTTGAAACATGGGTATAGTCAAATGTCACTTGACCCACAAGGTCTCTCACTACATTTCTTCCAATAATTAATATTATCCAGACTTTTACTTTGATGTGAGGTAGCATAAAATATGAGAGTGAAAAAAATATTCAAAAATAAAGTTTCATCAACAGTTTCGGCATGGCTGAAGTTGGTAGAGACGCATTTATATAACGAGTAAATTTGAGAAAATCTGTCGGTAAAATAAGTAATACACTACATCGGAATAACGAAACAAAAAATGCATACAGGGTGAGTCTTGATGAGGACAGGTTGGATTTGTTTTGAAAAGAAGAGCGATTTGAGATCTGGAAATTTTGAAATAATTCGTAATGATTTGAAATATTGTCAACTCACCTCCATTATCGGTAATGCCAGAAACTCGCAAGAGCTCTGTTATTTCATAGTGTAAATTTGCCATTTTCAACATCATTTTTCAATTCTGATATCTTTCATGTACCTTTTGGGATATTTAATTTTTTTCGAATATTTCAGGCAACTGAATACATTTTTTTGATGTGGAAATCTCAACAGTTGTGAAAAATTCGCTAGTTATATTCCTGTCTATGTAGTAATGTGATTTGAATGCAAGAAAATGTTATCCAGTATTTTTTAATTTCCGATTTCAATTATTTAATAATGATGATCATACGTTATGGTCATTTTGAAACAGTCGAATTTTTTTTTCAAAAAAAACTTCGGTGAACTGATAATATCGTTCATTTTCACATAGCTGCCTTGAAAAATTATGGAAAATGGTATATTTCACCAATTATCACTGAAATATATGTCATCAATTGATTGGGTTGAGGTTCATTTCAAAAAACACGAGTTGTTGTTTCCGTTGTTCCCAACGCAAAAACTACGATGATGATATTTGACTCTGGTTTTATATTATTAATGGTGGACGTGGTTTGGTTTCTTCTAATTGGAATACCTGACCTTGTTTGTGTACTATTAAGGTAGCCAAATTCTATTGATGTTCATTGCCTCTTCTTCTCTAACGAAATTGTCCCTTTGTTTTCAAATTTCTATTGCCTCTCTAAATATCCTTGAATAGTAATCTTGAGTTTTTCGATCGTGTTTTTTTAAGTTTCTCCCAATCCAGTCTCTAACATATTCAACATGGGAAAGGAAAGTTTTTCCCTTGACTACCCAAGCTAGGGTTACTTTAGCGTTCTCTCTCCTGTGTTGTATCCGCTCGAATTCTTCTTCGCTATACCCATTACCTTTGAAGGCATTTTTTAGGAAAACCCTCAGGCTCTCAACAAAAACCATCATAGAAAGTCTAAGGTCGGCTAAGGACCTCAGAGACCCTTCAGCAACACCCGGAGTATATCGGATTCTTTGTAGCTGCGGATCGGTCTACATTGGAACCACGAAAAGACGTGTAGGTACTCGTGTCTCTGAACACGAGAGAAATTGTCGACTGGGACAATTCAGCTGCAGCAGCTGCAGCTGCTCTCACATTATCTCATTCAAAGATACAATAATACTCGACAAACTTCAAGACCCTGAAAAACACAAGGATAATTCCAATAGGAAGGAAGAGGCAATGAACATTATTAACATTTGGCTACGACCTACCGAAAAAAAATCAGAAAAATAGCCGGGACCAGTTAATGAAGAAACGGAAGTTTAGAGTGTCCTTGCAATCCTCAACTTTTCAGGCGGACTGAAATAACGTGTTTTAAGGAACATATTTCACACATTCGAATGGCCACAGAATGAATCGAAAATTTTTGGAATTATTGAGAACAATACATGCAATATGATTTTAGACGCTTTTGAAAGTTAGAAAATCGAAAACTGACTAATGAATTATACAAAGTTTTGATTGGCTTCTGGCTTTTGTAGTGGTCTTCTTTGTTTATAATCCTCAAGCGTTTCAACTGCAACTGCAGCAGTCATCTTCAGTGGCCTGATAAAAGTGCTCTTCTTGACGTATCAACTTTAACGTTGTAACGTCACTTGACTGTCTTGATGTGTCAACTGACAGTTGACAATATATAAATGTGCATATGCATATTTCTTATGACGATAATGTTACGTTCTATGCCTAGATTTATACGCTGACATTGCAACTTTGATTCGGACATAGTACTAAGGTAAAATGCTCAATATGCAATCTGTGCAAAGTTTGGGTATTTGGAGATTGTTTTATATTTCTATATCCTGTGATCGTATCAATTTTGATGTCTATGAACTTGGAATAATCAAAAATGGAATTCTGAATACTGAGTGTTGTTTTAGAATATTGAAGTCGAGGTTGGAACATCTTCCAACTCATGTATTCGCTCAAATGAATTTGAATTAATCCATGATTATTTTCCATATTTGACAATAATTCAATATATATGAAAATGAAAGGCGGAGTTCACGTTTTGTAGAGACGGGTCTCAAAAATAACTGTTCTTCCACTCAACCTCCATAAAGTCTCTGTAATGATTTCACACATAGATTGTGTATGTGTCTCATAGAATGAAAGGTAACGGAAAATAGAAAAAAGTGAAGTTTACTGAGGCAGCTTAAAAAATAAAGAATGATTGGGGACTTACTACTTGACTACAGTTGATTCTTAAGTAATTATAACTTTAGGCGACTTTTGAAATGTAAAATGCTTTCGTGTTTTAACTTCTGGGACATTTCATTATATATTCCGGTGATTTGAAATAAGACCGATCGTTTCAAGGTTTCTGTTCTAAAGGCTGGAGGAGTCAAAGTACCTTCGAACCTCACATTCAAATTGTGGATGTCGGAACTAAAAGTAATTTTTCTGTGTAGGTAATACGGTGTTTTATTTATGATGATCCTATGAAACAGATTTGCACTATGTAGATGTCTCCAATTGGCCATATTGACGTCTACGAATTCCAAAAATCAGTCTCAAATATGAATTTTGTACCTTTTAAATTTTGTTTTGATAGTGGCTTATTGAGCAAGGACCATAAAGGAAATCATCATAATTGAACAATGACAGCACCAATGTCTCATAAAGAACAGCTTTCACAGAAGGTGACAGAACTCTTACACATCTGTATACCGTTTTCAAAATAGAATATGTAATAGAATTGTAATATACCTTCAGAATCTTAAGATAGTATCTATCAGAATACCGAGGATTTTAGCTTTATCAACCAATGCCAGCGGTTCTTTGTTTATATTGACGTTCATGTTGGAAAATGAGTCACCGTAGTTTTTGGTCCGAATACAGTAATATTGGATTTATTGGCATTTATCTGTGGTAGATTTACCGAAATTATGAATGTCTGTATTAATGAGAAAGAAGGCAGTTTTTTTGTCTTTCATAGGAAAGCTGTAATATATTTGGGTGTCATCAGCATAAAGATGAGCCGAACATTTTTCAAGTGAGTTTGTGAGACCTGAAGTGTATATGGTGGACAATAACGGCCCTACAATAGTTCCCTGGGGTACACCAGCAAGAAGTTCCTTATACTGTGATTATTTATTATAGTTTATATACTTTTTTTATACATACTTTTTGTTTTTTTACTGTCAAGTAGCTTTTGAGAAATGCCAGAGCTGCCTCTGAGAGCCCAATAAAGTGCAAGATGTACAATGATAATCGGTGATGTATTGTATGTATGCTGTACACCATTTTCAAAACGAGAAACAGGCCATTTCTTTCATGTATGCAGAAAAAATATTACCTGGTCTCTAATATCTGCTGGTTTCATCATTGAGGTTCATAATGTCGATTCGGTATGTCTCTGGAAACACTATATCTCAAGTTACCTGATTCATCCAATTTCTCTCACAATCAATTTGATAGTGGAACAGTTCAAAAAGTTAACCCCGGACATCAAAAACGTAAAGCACTAACGCGGCTTAAAAATTCCCCAAATTTCGATCCCGAACGAAAACTTTGTTACTCAATAAACCTTTGGTATATCACGGCATGGAGCCAGCCGGAAAATCCAGGGTAAACAGCAGGATGAATGAGGTATTTTATATATAGACAACGGTTCGCGATATTGCTTTCAGGAAACAAAGCTTCTGTCGAAAAAATTTAATTTTACAAGAGAAATCCTTGAAGCTTATGGATATTGAAAGGGACGTACATGGTCAATATGTGAAGTATTGGCACTAGGCGGTCTTTGTTTTTTATTGATATCCCATTCAAACGGTAAAGGCCGTACGGGGGCCGTTCATTATTTCGTCACATGTTTGAGGGATATATTCAATTTGGGAGAAAATTTGTAGAGGTAGTTGGGGAAAATAGAAACGAATACGCCTGTGTTTTATGTCATACTAGTTCATTATTGTAGGAAAGAAAGGTTTTGGCTTTCTACTTCTCCATCTTCATGTAGGGTCGTTGATAAAGCGCTTCCCACCTTCCCACCTTCAGGTAGAATTGTACCGATGGCATGTGTTATGTTGGCTTCGAGAACCGCTGTGGTTTGTAACTTATTCATATACATCTACGACTTACCACACGAGAAAAAGTCCAACGGGGTCAAATCGTACGATGTCGGTGGCCAGTTCATATCACCTCCACGTGGGATGACCATGCCCTCAAATCGCCCTGTTAAAACCACATGTCAACTTACTTGAGAATGGTCCAACAAACCGATATCGGTGACGATGCCTCAGATTCAACCGTGAAAGGCTTTTTTGCCTCTGGTTTTGATGAATCAGCACTAGAGCGCAAACGTTTGCTAACCTGCTCAAGGGGGGTTTGTTCCCCCACCTGAGACAGTCTGCGTACGCCGCTCAAGAATTTGGTGCAAGGCGGTTTCATAAGGTCCTTCGCTCTTGAGAAGACGACTCAGTCGTTTCCTGGCTGCACCACTAAACCTTTTCCCAGGTTCAATTTTTGAATCAGGGTTTGGAGAGTTGAGAAGCTCTCGCTCCTGATCTGAACTTACAGGGAGGTCAGCTGGAGTCGTAAGCTCGACATCCATCTCCTCTGTAGACTCAGCGTCAGAAAAAAATTCAAATTTACTCTGTCCATAAAAGTCCCACAAGTAGCTAGGGAAAGAAGGTCAATCACAGCAGAGCTCCGCATTGCCGTGACAAGGCGATGCTACGACGAGAGGGCGGCCGGTATCTCGAAGGTTCCGTAGATACAGCTGATATGCTCAATGTCATTCATTCTCTCGACACAGATACACACGCCTTAGGATTGAGCCATCGTTGGGATGCCATTCAGTTAGGGAATAACAGAACCACACGTGATTCTGTCATTCCCGTATCCAGCGGGGCTACATGGAAGCAGGCATCCGATGGCCGCTTTGCTCAACCGCCACATTCCAACCAAAGCACTTGCCGAAAACAGCATGCACATTGGTTCAGTCAGTGAAAGATAAACAAGAAAAAAAAAGTTGATGGCGGCCATGTTGACACGAACCGTTTCATCGAATATTTATTATTACATCGTCATAGTACACAGTATTCGAAGTGTACTATGACGATGTTATAATAAATATTCGATGAAACGTTTCGGTTTAACATGGCCGTCATCAACTTTTTTTTAAACACAGGCTTGTATTTTTCATTACAGATATTGATGAAGCGATAAATTCACAAGCCAAGGGTATATCATACTTAATATTTTTATAGCGTTTCATTTGAAATAACTCCCATCATTAGTAACAACAATCAAACAGAAAGACCATTTTGTTTTTTCATGAACTTTTGGGAAAAATGAAACCAATATGGAAAATCAAAGTTAGATGTGAATCTACATTAAATGCTCGAATTAACGACCTTATTGCCGGTCCAGACAATTTCTATGGCAATTTTCTACCATAATAGGTGTAATACTAATACATGCATCTCTTATTTTTTGTTTGATATGGTCGATATCTGTACTTGGTGTTGAAAAAAACTATCCTTTATGTATCCCCAGACATAAAATCTAAAGGAGTAACATCTGGGGATGGAGCTGGCCAGTTAATTGGCCAATTGTTTCCAATTCATTTTCTTGAGAATACTGCATTTAAATGTTCCCTTACTATTGCTTTATTATGGGGAGGAGCGCCGACCTGTTGAAAATATTGTATTTCATGTATTTTTGCAAATTTTTCCAACTTCACTATGTCTACGTCTTAACCACTTCGCAAATCGTATTCTCCTTCCGTAATCCCTTTCATTGAGGTGAATAACTTTGCGTAACCTGTAGCATTTATATTTGTTCTTTTTCAAAATAGTTCTGGTGGATTTTACAGAAATCCCAGTTTCACGTAAAGAACAATCTTCATTATCATAATTTTTGTAACTGGCCAATCCTAAATTAATGGTAATAATGGCAATATTTGCTTACCCATAACATTTGTTTGATTCCTCACATTTCCAGTTACCACACATTTTCTTGTTTTCTTTTTGTCAAATAGACCATAGTCCCTCAAATTTCTTTCTGATCGTCTAAACATTTGGATGTTCGGAATATGACGATTCGGGTATAGCTCAACATACATATTGCTTGCCAAAAGAAGATTTCTATTTGATTTTGCATAACTAAATAGCATATCAGTCCTTTCATCATTTGAACTGACAGTTTTCAACAGATATCAACAAAGCATTCATTTTTCCTGTCATAGAAACCAAGCAAAGCCTACGCGTTTGAGATGGCAAATGAATTGAGATGCTGTTTGATCACACCAAATTATACAACAATCGAATTTTGACCAACAACTGATATTTTTGTTACTTCCAGGATTGAGAATTATAAGAATATTACAAATTATAATTGATTAGGGAGAAATAAGCCTTGAAAGAAGGATTACGGCAATACAAAAATTTCCCAAACGAAAAAGTACCAATTTTCATTGTGTTAGGGTACCTACCTCTTGAATTTATTGGGTTGTCTGAATTATATTTTGAAGAAATTGAAACAATTTACAAAAGAAGTATCTAACGACAGGACCGTAATTTAAAATTGTTGTAAAAGACTCGGCCTGTATATGCAAAATTTACAGATTGGAAATTATTCCACATTCAAACCAAAAATTGTATCTGCATAACGCGCTGCATACGAACCACAACCCTCAGAAATATAAACTCATGCGAGCGGAGGATCAAAGAGGTTTTACCTTTTGACGAGCGATTACTGTCACGAAAACCTTCTTCATGATATGTAATGATAGTTATTTTGATGTGATTTTTAATCAAAATTGCCACAAGTTACATGTTGCATGTCGATATGCTTTTATTGATATTCAGTGAAGAATATGTGTTTCAGTTTTACGTCCAACAAACCCTCAGGAAGTACCCTGTTATGAATCGGTTTACGAAGAATCCATCAAGCACCCCGAGAGATTCTGGGCAAAAGTTGGACAACTGGTGACATGGTCTAAACCATGGAAGAGGGTGTTGGATAATTCTTATGAACCATTTACTAAATGGTAAGTACCCGTAGAACTTCGTCTGTTAACATTTAGCTGATCCATTTATGAATTATTTCCGATGTTATCGTTATAACAATGATACTTTCGACGACACGTATTGATAATTTCTTAGACTTACAGATACGTACCAGTCGATTCTATTCACCATTTGATTAAATTTATCATTGAGATGGTGAATGTCAATAAGTTTTCACAAACGCACCGTTTGTGATGGCCAAAAATCGCTTGAAAAAAAGAAAAAAAATCAAAACACATGACACAACCCAATATTTTGTTCTTTAGTTGTAGTCTTTAACTTCGGATGCTTCGTAATTTATCAAAAGGCAGAAATCATAAGTCAACGATAATTTAAAATTTTCCATAATTTCAGGTTTGTTGGTGGTGAGCTGAACGCTTGTTATAATGCCATAGATCGACATATCGAAGCTGGAAAAGGATCCAAAGTCGCCTTAATTTATGATTCACCTCTCCTTGGAGTCGTTAGGAAAGTCACGTATTACGAATTGTACGAAAAGGTAATCACTATTTTGAGTAAAATAAGACGCCATCTATGTGATCGACAGAGAACTCAATGCATTCCATTAGTTTGGACTTCCACTGTCTAATATGATATAAATTGATTTGAAATACCTGAAAGAATCTGTGAAAAAATCAAAAAGAGATTAGCTGGAAAGATAACAATTATATCAAGCAAAAAAACTGAAATTACAATGAAATAAAATACAAGCAACAACCAAAACATCAAAAAAATAAACTTTTAACACGAGATGCAAATTGAAAATTATTAACAAGAAATGAAAAGAAAAAATTCCAAACTGAGTTACTTCACTTCAAATCATACAGAGAAAGCTATCGGAAGATGGGGACCTGAAAGATAGAACAAACTTACTGATACAAGTAATCATGAAATTGCTAGGATGCTGGGATCGCCTCTTTCACCGGTTATAGCCAATATATATATACGGAGTATTTTTAAACTCTGGCCATTGAAGAACCCCCGAGTCTGGTTGAGATTCGTAGACGACACCTTCATAATATGGAACCATGAGAGTGCAGAACTAGACGCCTTCCTGAAGCACATCAACAACGTAAGTCTTTCCATCAATTTCACAATGGAGAAGGAAGTCCACAACGAATTGCCAGTCAAGAGGACCGAAACGAAATGGGAAACATCTGTGTATCGAAATCACACTCTCACAGGACAGTATCTTAAACAGGAATCCAACCACCATCAATCGACTAAGAGAAGAATCATCGAGACTCTACTGAACCATGCTTGAAGGTCTTGAAAAGGGACTAGGCATCATCAAAAATGACCTTCAACGAAATGGTTAATACAAAGTGATTGTGGAACAGGCTTTAGCTAGATGACAGCAAGAGCTCTACAAGGAAGAGAAGCCGCCACAACCAGTAGTTGTACTTCCCTACATCAGAGGATTGTCAGAAAGGATAAGGAGGATTGGGTTCAAGTATAACATCAGAACCTGCTCCAGATCCGGAAACACTATCCGTAGCAGCCTCACAAAAACCAGGCCACCAAACGCGGACTGCGATTCCAAGAATTGCATTTAACGGATACCCTGCGAGTGCGGAGAATCATACATCGGTGAAACTAAGAGGCCATTGAAAGTTCACATTGCCGAGCATATGAAACACACACAGCAAGGAGAAACCAGCAAATCAGGAATAGCAGAGCACGTTTGGACTCATCAACATAACATCAAGTGGGCTCAAGCTGAAATCATCCACAAGGAAGAACAATGGTTTAGGAGAAAATTCAAAGAATCCGCATATATGTTGTCCAACAATGCCTTTAGCCAAGCTAGAGTAGAGATACGCAACATATGGAAACCTTCAATCAAGCGGAACACGACCAACTCCCGCCAAACGGTTATATTCCACTAAAACCGATGAAGCGATGAGAAGGTGAGATAGGTGAAAGAACTCGAATGACCGATAAATAGTCAGATCTCGGAGGAATAATTCCAGTTTTTTTGCTGAATATAATTGTTATTTTTCAGCTAATCTTTTTAATTTTTCATAGATTCTTTCAGGGATTTCAAATAGACAATGGAAGTTCGAACTGATGAAATGCACCACGAAACATTGTTAAGTACCTTCAAACAAAAGAGAACTCAATCCTCGAATTCCAAACGTGAAAGAGGCTCCCCGGGGCGGTCAGTTGCAAAGCCGAGCATCTACATCGACCGCTGAAAATATTTGTCCTCTGTCTTTCACTGCAGCTTTCACTGCAAGGCACCTAGTCCAATAGATGGCGTCTTCATAAGGGGAGATGTTGTCAACCGTTCTCCGGTTTGTTCCACCAACGCATTTCTGGTTTGGCCTAGCACCACTAATGAGATCATCTGGTGTTAAATCATGAAGGCGTTGCGTTTGGGTTCTGGTTTTCAACTGTTCAACTGTAGAAAATCCACCAGGGAGAGGCTGTGAATGATACAGTAGTAAATAATCGTCATTTGTGTAATTAATTTCACCTCTTTCGAAATGGTGCCTTCAATGAAATATCAATCATGCAGACATAAAATAAAACGAGTCGGCGTTTCTCATTGTTTTTTACAATTTGAGTGAAGAATAAAATGGTTAGAGGCACCCCGGTGTCAATTTGCATCTCTATACAACCAATGCCATCTCTGGATTGTTTGGAATTGAAGCCAAAAACAACGCATTCTTGATCCTTAGATGCACCAGATAAAGCTGTTTCAACCCTCGATAATTCTCATCAGTAGTGGCATGCTGAGCCACAAATGCATTGCTGGACCCAGTTGTTTTCAAAAGACAAGCCTGAGTGAGTAGCAGCGATTACTACTGCGCTTACGAATACTCCACTTCTCTTACGAGTCAACTGAAGACTAAATTCTTGAATGATAAAGATAAACAGGGCGTTCAATGTCATTCTTTTGAATATTTGTTGTAGGTCCCGAAACTGGCCGGTCTCTTGGCAAGACTTGGAGTTAGTAGAGGAGATAGAGTTGTGATATATATGCCACTCATTCCAGAAACGATCATGGCCATGTTAGCAGTAGCTAGATTGGGAGCTGTACACTCAGTGGTATTTGGAGGTAAGAAATAATAATCAGTGATGGATGAAATTCTATAAATATATATATAAAGTCAAAGCTGCGTCATTTTATCTCTAATGCTCATAGATGACAATACATATTGATTGGTCATTAAGAGATGATAAAAAGCTAACTATATTGAATGCTTCCACTTTGATCAATTTTTTCATTACGATTTCTCTAGACAATGGTCTGTGACATAGGAATTTTTTTAAATGCCTTGGATACTTTCTACAGTTTGGAACTAATCTCATATATCTTCAAATACCAGAGTTATGTTGAAGTTTTGCTTTTTTGAGCGTTTTTTCATCCCATTCCTAAACACGATTTCAGGATTAAACCTCATATTTATGAAACCTAATTTGTAAGCACACCGATCGTCTAGTCGATCTTAAACCGAAGAGAAATTCTTTCTCGGTTGTGTGACATCGTCTGAAATCTGTTGATTAGAAACTACGCTCATCTGTATCTATAGAGTCATCCTCCATCCTGTCCTTTCTAGGAAAATGGGTAAGTCACTAGGAGACATCTCCTTTATATCGGCAGGTCTAGGCCACGACTCTTCGAACACACACTCTCCTATCGACTATAGCCCCGAATACTTGCATAAGATATGCCTGACAGTTTCATCTTTCTATTCACTAGCCCCATAATATTGAGGTGTTTCCTTAGTTGACAGTGGCCAGTCAAAAATCCTACTTTTTCCTGGTCATCGCCAGATATTTCTTCGGAACCAGCTTCCCCGGGTCGCCCACCTCAGGATAATGTTATTATCTACTGAAACTTTGGCTTAATCTTGGTGGCACTCTAGTTCTATCTCTGAGGAAACACGTTGTCTGTTCAAGGCTGATAGGGCTTGTCTTCTATCAGTGCAGATTGTTATGTTTCTTTCAGAAATTCATTTTCTGGTTATTTCTTTTGTGGCGATTGAAATACCAGCCAGTTCTGTTTCAACCACGCTGGTGTTTTTGCCCATTCCCCACTCAATCCTTATGCTTAGTTATCTGGAGTAAACTCCACATCCTGAGCTCGAATTTTCTACTTGAACTCTGACTTCTGAATCTACTCTGTCTTTTTGGTTATTTTTAGGTGGCCACCTATCTGCTGTGGTAGTATCATGCGATAAGTTACTCAATTATTCCTGGTATGAGGTCTAGTATAGACTAATCTCTAAATACTACTTCTGGAATGATGAACATCATATTCCTACAAATATTCTGGACTATCCAATTTAAAAAGAGGCTTACCAAATGATTTTGGGAAAATAAATTTCAATTCGTTTGAAAGGTGGAGCTAGGAAAGACTGAAGAGTCAGCTCTGTCAGCTCCAAACTCTTGCACGGTTTCATTGGACTCGTGAACCTGCTTGTGAAATTTATGCTATATCTGATTTACTTAAAATAATTTACAATCTCATTGTATATTCACTTGGTATTTGTTGAACCTCAGCTAACCCGATTCTTTTTGGAACTACCAAAATTTTTCATCGAAGATTTTCACTACCACTTGGTTCTTCAGTGATATTATTGAAAAACGATTTAGGGTAACTACTGAAATGTTTTCAAGGAAAACCAGAATTTCTTTTTTCAACCTTTATACCCTGACTGTTCCGCCAGAACAGACAAAAATCAGAAATCTATTACTCTTTAGATCTCAAGACACATCTTCAACATCTTTGAAATCATTTTGGACTTTTTGGACCTATCTGTGACCTTTCTGTATATTTGTGTCTGAAACACTTGAACCTTTGCTAATCGTAACTGATTTCAACTCATTTGTGGCAGTGACTCTTCCTGCTAATGCTTTTTGCCATCTTGGTACAGGAGTAAGCCTGTAAATTTCTTATTTTGATTGTTTTTAATATTTCCTTTGTTATTTAAAAAAATATTCTTCACGAGGGTAGTCCGAAAAGTTTTCGACCCAGTTGAGATATGTTTAAAAATCTGTTTAAAATCTGTTTTTCCGTTAATCAGCTGTCGCCCCATACGAACGACAACTCTCAGACGTTGAGAAACTTGTGCGAGCTAAGGACTAACGAGGTCTTACCTTTTAACGTGTGATTCCTAACACGATACAAGGCATTTTTTCATTTTTTTTTATTTTCCAACGGTCTCCTTTTAACTCTACACACTTCTACAAGCGACGTTTTTTTCTGCAAAATAATTGTCCTCTGAGCGCAATTCTCAGATGAGGGAACAAAAAAAGTCGCTTGGGACTAGATCTGGTGAGTGAGGCGGATGGTCAAGCAATTCAAACCGTAGTTCGTGGATTTTCGCCATGACAACCGCAGAGGTGTGAGACGGTACGTTGTTATGTGGAAAGCGGATATTCTATTTCTGCAAATATGTTCTGCACGTCAAGTAATGATGTGTAGCATGCTCCTGTAATGGGTTTTTTTCTTTTTGAAGATAATTGATTGAAATCAATCGGCGCCATCGGAATTATTGCGCATAGACTGCACCAACAGAGCATTTGAAATGTTCATTCGAACACGTTTTTGGTCTAACGTGAGCAAACGCGGCATCCAATGCGCGGAGAGCTTTCTCATGCCTAAATGTTGATTCAATATGTGACAACTACGTTTTTTTGACATGTTCATAACCTCTGCTATCTCTCTCACTTCAATTCGGCGGTGATCTAGCACCATTTGGTGAACTTTGGTGATGTTTTCGTCGGTTCTTACGGTCACGTTTAAATCCAGGTGTCCAAAATTTCACTGTGGTAAATGATGGTGCAACGTCCCCATACACATAACCTAACTCATATTTGATTTTCGTAGGCGTATTACCTTTTAAAAACAAAAAATTAATGACAGTTCGTTACTCGATGTTATCCATTTTCATAAAAACACTCACATCAACTCACTCAAACAACTGTTATAACAGTGCGCCCGAAACTTTGGTGAGTAACTGTCAACAGCTGAACAACGAAATTCACTAGCTTCATGTTTAGGTCGGAAACTTTCCATATCACCCTCGTATATCTTCCAAATTTCCATTAGGATGAGATGCAAAGATTTCAGTGAGTTTTTTGTGCAAAAATCTCCCCTCTAGAGAAATGAAATTGATCGTTTTTAAAATCCACTAGTTCATTTCATAATGCTTCAATAACTGACATTCCAGAACTTTCGCTTGAAAATTTAGAGCTGTATGCTCTGACGCAAAGTTTGGACTCCTTATCAAAAATGAAATTTGAAATAATGGAAAGTCTGGAAAACACAGATAGTGACTTCCCGTGTATTCCGCAGGGGGGTTTTGAAGCTTCACAAAACTCTTTATATAACTTATTGCAACAAAGTCGTAGGATAAAGTTTCTTATGTTCTGATAAAAAATAAATACTTCACAACTTTCTTTTCTCTAAGCGATCGTTTTCGAATCTTTGTCGATTGTTATCGCCCCTGGAGAGAAAGAAAAGGACAAATTTCATCCTATAATATAACAAGTGACAATTTTCCGTTGCATTTAGGAGTGACTTATTTTCTTTTCAGACAATCCCCGCTTCACCGACTTGTTTCCGAAATCAATTTAATGTATTATTTTGTTCCAGGCTTCGCAGCTAGTGAGTTATGCACAAGAATCCAGCACGCAGAACCCAAAGTAATAATAGCCGCTAGTTGTGGAATAGAACCTAGCAGAGTTGTGAAGTAAGTTGTTGGTTCATGATTTTCTGGCTTATCCGAAACAATTTCATCTCTTCTTTCATGACTAATCTGTTTACGAGCAAATTTGAAATTCAAGCAACAGAGAAGTTAAATTACTGTCACGTTTTCCCCGTGGGTTCGACAATAATTGACCACACTGTATAATCAAACTCAACTTTATTTCTCTACTGCGCTGTCAATACAACACAAAACTGTAACTGAACTTCATACTTATGTACAAACGTCGCACTGCACTTTCCGAACTATACTGCTCTCCCTACGTAGTGGTATATACCAACTGGAAGTCTTTGGAAACCGGTGAATCAATCTAGAAAGATTGAGAAAGAGTGAGAGAGAGAGAGAGAGAGAGAGGGAGAGATGCAGGGCTGATCGTGACCGTCACAGTTGAACGAAGAAGCCAGCGTCAGCCGGCGCTACTTTTTTCCAGGGGATAAATACAACATTACCTTTCATGAACTTGGGTCCGATATGTGGATGATTCATCTACCATTTTGGTCACAAATAGGAGTGAGGTAGAGGATTTTGTGTTTTGTCTCAAAGTATTCACGTATGAAATTGAAAATAACGAAAGCTATCATTTGTTCCAGTTGTAAGAAGCGCCGATAAGGATTTAGAATCAGACGTGTTTAGAAAAAGTACTAACACTTTACAGTTATCACTGTCCTCAACAAAAAACAGCAGTATTACATTTTTTTGCCCATAGACTGGTCATATTCAACAAACAAAAATATAATACCAATAAATGAAGGATAGCCATTAGGTATCCCCCAAACATAGTGGATAGGTCAATCAGGAAACTGGAATTCAGAGAATTTGTAGTTTTTTATATGAAGAAGAATACACCAACGGATTAGTCCAAATAAATTTTCAGTTGAACACACCGTGTACTACTGTATCAAAAGTTTATTCATTATTATAGATATTATGGATTGATCAGTGAATGCTATTCTGTTGGAAGCATCTCCTTCAAATTCACAATATTGGTACTTCTAGCCCGTTGCTAAAAACTGCGATTCACTTAGGAACAATTCAAATTATATTTATACATTCCAAAGTCGAAAAAATATTGATGAAGCATATGCTCCTTCATCATTTGGAATCCAATTGAGTCATCTGCCCAGGGCCATTTGAATTCAGAACTAGTATAGCTTTTATAAAAATTTGCTGTCCATATATTCTACCATATCTAGTTCACATTTTTAACTGCATAATATTATCATCAAAATTTACTGAGTCCCGGAAACATGCGCGTATGACCCCAATTCAGAAAACTAACGACCTCCAAGATCTTTTGGACTTGAGACCTATTAGTATATTATCGGGTACATCAAAGCTATTGAAAAAAATTATAGCTGAACAATTCAACCAAATGATTGATGATGATCGCATTCTGCCGCAAATCCAATCAGGTTTTAGAGCAAGGCATAGTTCGATCACTGCACTTTTTCGTGTTACTAATGACTCATTTCGGGCAATTGATAATTCAGAAAGTCCAGCCTTGATTATGCTTGACTTTAGCAAAGTCTTTGATACTGTTCGACGTAATACACTACTAACTATTCTAAAATCAAGTGGTATTTGTAAAAACTCGCTCCATCTCTTCTACTCTTACCTCAAAGATCGATGGCAAAGCGTGAAACTGGGAGATAAAGTATCTGTTGCTAAAAATGCGTTATCTGGTGTACCACAGGATTCTGTTTTAGGGCCGCTTCTGTACTCAATATACACCAGCCAGTTTGAAAAGTTTGTTAGTCATTGTAAAATTCACATTTTCGTTGATGATTTTCAACTTTACCACATGTTTTTCATAGACGGCATGAATGACGCAGCAGTGGCTGTTAATGTTGACCTGGACAACATTGCTCAAGTTGCTAGTCAGCATTTCCAAATGTTAAATGCGAAAAAATCTATAGCCTTGGTATTCGGTAACAAATCCAATCAGGCAGTCTCAAAAAGTAACCTTCAGATAATTATTAATAATGAAGTTATCAGGATTTCTGATTATAACCAGGTGAAATCCAAAAGTGTTTCACATTCATCAAATTATTTATTTTTGAAATAGATATACAGGGTGTGACATAAATACGTTAAAATATTCAAGTGTCGTATTCCTGAGACAATTTTAAGAAAAAAAGTCTATATGAACTTGTGTCCGAAAATGCTTCGTTTCTAGTTTTTGTAATGTTCTCAGCAACTTCACTTAGCGCCCTAGGAGCTAAGTAATATGCATCGATATAGAACATTGTAAATATCTCGAAAACGATCACTTCTAGTGTTATTGAGGAGGTGTACCTTTTTCATTTGGAAAAGGTGTGGGAATTAGGTTTTTTCATGGAAAGTACCAAAAGCTTACTGTCAACAAAGTTAGGGCTATTTGAAATAAATAATGACATCGTACGCAGCGCCCCCTAGATGTTACATGAAAATCAATAGAAAATTATAATTTCCCACGTCAAAAAAACCCCGGATACCGAATTTCGTGCAAATTACTTATTTTTTGCGAGAGTTATTTTCAAAAAGCGAACAAAATAATTCAATTTCAACACACCATATCTCCGAAACGAAGCATTTTCGGCCACAAGTTCATAAAGACTTTTTTTCTTAGTATTGTCTCAGGAATATGTCGTTCGTGCAAATTACTTATTTTTTGCGAGAGTTATTTTCAAAAAGCGAACAAAATAATTCAATTTCAACACACCATTTCTCCGAAACGAAGCATTTTCGGCCACAAGTTCATAAAGACTTTTTTTCTTAGTATTGTCTCAGGAATATGTCGCTCGAATATTGTAACGTACTTATGTTACACCCTGTATGGCTTTCATGAATTTTATGGCAAGATAAATTTTCCTTATTCAGGCAGGCCAATATTACAGTGAAGGGTTATGAATTTTTATCGGCTTTACTTCTCATTTGATAAGTTTTTGATTAGTTTGTTTTTATCTCTGAAGTTAATTCAAAAATAATTATAATTTTTGGTAATATTCTCTACAGATTTTTTTTCGCAGTTACATACACGAGCTTAACGAAGCCATCGCCCTATCAAGCCACAAACCATCGAAATGCATTATTTTCCAAAGAAAAGGCATCGAAATCGCCGAACTTGACCCGGTGAGAGATATGGATTGGGAGGAGTCGATAAAAAACGTGGAAAGTGCCCCTTGTGTTCCAGTCGATGCTAATGATCCTCTGTACATAATATATACATCGGGAACTACAGGTAATTTATCATTAATTTGCTCCTTCATTGAGCTCCCTGTACAGTGGAGAGATGTAATGGGGTATTAAATGAGTATTTTGCGGGACAAAAACGTTAATTGAATTCAGGTGCTTATGAACTAGTCGCTGTAAAGTGGGAGAAAGTGAACGATAATGGAGGAGTGGCTCGCCAAAACCAGATTAGTCTTTTCCTGGAATAACTTCTGCATTAAAGCTAGCAATATGAGGCCTGCTCAAGAAATAATGGCTACCTACATTCGAGTATCGATATTTTTTTATCTGTTTATGTTGGTACACTCCCCTCGAACATTTGGTTCACAGTTTCAGCTGTTTGACATGTGTGGCTTGTTGGTGAGAGGCATGAAAGTTACAAGTGTTTTGCGTGTTCTGCGATTTTCAGCTATCAAAAAAAAATGGATCAAAGAAATCGCATCAAATTTTGTGTAAAAAATGGAACAAAGTGCTCAAAAACACTTGAAATATTGACGGTGGCATACGGTGATTGTACTTTGAGCCAGAAAAATGTTTAAAAGTGGTTTTTCATTGAAGATCGAGGAGATATGAATGATGACACCCGCCCTGGACACCCCAGCCCATAAACAACCGTTGAAAATGATGAGAAAGTGAAAAAATCAATTATGGAATCGTTGGATGACGTCAACGGCGATATAGATTTGCTTAAAAGGATTCTAACTGGTGACGAATCACGGGTATATGGTAAAGACATGGAAACCAAAGTACAATCGTCCGAATGAAAGAGCTCAAAATAGTCAAGACCAAAATAAACACGCCAAGTTCGATCAAATGTCAGGGTTTTGCTTGACGTCAACGGCATTTCAGATTTGCTTGAAAGGGTCATAACTGGTGATGAATCACTGGTATATAGTAAAGACATGGAAACCAAAGTCGAATCATCCCAATGGAAGGGCCCAGAATAGCCAAGATTATAATAAACACGTCAAGTTCGATCAACTGTTAGGGTTTTGCCCCCTGTTTTCTTTGATGTCAACGGCGATCCAGATTTGCTTACAAGGGTCATAACTGGTGACTACTCATGGGTATATGGTTAAGACATGGAAACCAAAGTCCAATCGTCCCAATGGAAGATACCAGAAGAGTCAACACGAAAATAAACACGCCAAGTTTGATCAAATGTCAGGGTTTTGCTTGACGTCAACGGCGTTTCAGATTTGCTTGAAAGGGTCATAACTGGTGGTGAATCACGGGTATATGATAAAGACATGGAAACCAAAGTCCAATCGTCCAAATGAAAGAGCCCAGAATAGCCAAGATCATAATAAACACGTCAAGTTCGGTCAAATGTCAGGGTTTTACTCCCTGTCTTCTTCGAAGTTAACGGCGATTCAGATTTGCTTACAGAATAGCCCAGAGCCTAGAATAGCCAAGACCAAAATAAACACGCCAAGTTCAATGGAATGTCAGGGTGTTGCTCACTGTTTTCCTTGACGTCGACGGCGTTCCAGATTTACCTAAAAGGGTCATAACTGGTGACAAATTATGTGTATATGGTTATGACATCGAAAGCAAAGTCCAATCGTTCCACTAGAAAAGCCCAGAATAGCCAGGACCAAAATAAACACGCCAAGTTCGATCGAATGTCAGGGTGTTGCTCACTGTTTTCCTTGACGTCAGCGACGATCCAGATTTGCTTGAAAGGATCATAACTGGTGACAAATCATGTGTATATGATTATGACATCGAAAGCAAAGTCCAATCGTCCCACTAGAAGAGCCCAGAATAGCCACGACCAAAATAAACATGCCAAGTTCGATCGAATGTCAGGGTGTTGCTCACTGATTTCCTTGACGTCAACGGCCATTCAGATTTGCTTGAAAGGATCATAACTGGTGACAAATCATGTGTATATGATTATGACATCGAAAGCAAAGTCCAATCATCCCAATGGAAGAGCCCAGAATAGCCACGACCAAAATAAACATGCCAAGTTTGATCGAATGTCAGGGTTTTGCTCACCCTTTTCCTTGACGTCAACGGCGTTCCAGATTTACCTAAAAGGGTCATAACTGGTGACAAATTATGTGTATATGATTATAACATTTAAAGCAAAGTTCAATCGTCCCACTAGAAGAGCCCACAATAGCCAGGACCAAAATAAACATGCCAAGTTCGATCGAGCGTCAGGGTGTTGCTGACTGTTTTCCTTGACGTCAACGGCCATTCAGATTTGCTTGAAAGGATCATAACTGGTGACAAATCATGTGTATATGATTACGACATCGAAAGCAAAGTCCAAAGTTCGACCAAATGTCAAGGTTTTGTTCATTTTTTTTCTTTCATTACCGTGACGTAGTGCATCAGTAGTATTTGCCACATGATCGTACGGTATTGAGGAAACACAATTCATTGCTTTCGCATCACGATAATGCGCCTGCTCACTAGTCATTGCTTGTTCGTAATTTTTCGGCCAAAAACAACGCCGTAACTATGCCTCAGTCACTACATTCACCAGATTTGCCTCCCTGAGACTTTTTCCTGTATTGTTGAGAGAGCTCAATGACATACCGAAAGATGCATATCAGAACTACTTTGGGGATTGGAAAAAATGCTAGCACAAGTGTATTTATTATATCTGAGGGGGACTACTCTGAAGGATACAAAATAAATGAACAAAATACGAAGATGTCGTTGCTGAATTACGTTCAAAAACTGTTTATTATCCTCAGAGCAATTTTGGCTCTTAAACATGGAAACTAATTAAGGTCACCTTCGTTTTAAAACCTGGGAAAATTGAACAGGATTCGACGATAACTTTGAGTTTCATCAATTTTATTATCATATGCATTAAAAAACAGAAAAATTACTTGGTGTTATTGTTATTAAAGATATATTGGTCAATTTGTGTGCAGGCGATTTTAAAAAACAGTGCTTCCACACACCAGAAGTGCAACACTTTTTTTGAAGCGCTTTTCTCCAACCAATAGGTGCTATCATGAGATGAACTATAGAATATTTATTTATTCATTCACTGCATTGCCTATTTTTATGAAATAATCAATAAAGTCAGTCCTCGTATGTACTGTAACAATAATATATAACTATAAGCTTGATGTAGAGACAGTTATACATTACAATCTTTTCAGTCTTTTTAAATGACTCCATAAAAAATTTCGAAAGTTCTAAATCTACATTGTATGTGTTTGCAAGTCTCAAAATTCTACCTATAGACTCATTCTGGCCATAGTTGGTATGATAATAATAATAATGTTCATTCAAGGAAATAATTCATAAAGAAAACATTGTTACATGAATAATAAAGAGTAAACATTGAAAACATCACGGAAGTATTCAAGATACTTGTATGTGCTGATGCTAGAGTTAGAACAAACAAAATATATACATACATATAACCGTAAACACTATACTGTTTCACACAGCTATTATATCTACTAGTTATATATCAGTATAAACATATGACCAGCAGAGCCACTTAACTGAATAGATTTGTTCCCTCCGTCAACCAGTCGCACCCCTATGAGCAACCCTCAAAAGTCTTCGACAGACTTGTACGAGCAAGGGAAGACGAGGGTCCTACCGTGTAGCATGCTATCCTGATCAAGGATTTTTTCATACAAAAAAATCTAGCTAGGGATGAAAGGGTACTTTAAAGATTTCTGTATTTCTTGTTCTCTTCAGATTCACATTCAAAATTATAAGTTCAAAAAGTTCCGAGAATAATTGCTACCATTGATTATTTTGTGAATTAGTGGTAAGATCTGATTCTAATCTTCTATGACCCAGAGTATATTCAAGTTAAGAATGTCCAATACAATCCTAATTTATATGCAGAGTTTACACTTCAACCGAATTAGACCGATTTATTTTATTGGTGTACCTTTAGCAAAAATTCACCCTTTCACGTATAAATAGGCGTAGTTATAGTTAGGAACTGATACAGTTCATCTTTCGATTACGCGTTGCGAAACGTATTGCAGTTCTGGAGTGTAGAAGCAGTGTTTGTGAGCTGGGCTACAATAACTTGATTTGTTTTTTATTTCAGGCGAACCGAAAGGAATCACACGACCGATCGGAGGTCATTTACCGATGCTGGTGTATGCCCTTAAAACGTTATACGGAGTTGGCCCTGAGGACACCTGGTGGGCTACGAGCGACTTCGGCTGGGTAGTCGGCCATTCTTTCATGTGTTATGGGCCTTTGTGTTACGGAATCACCACTATAGTTTACGAGGGGAAGCCGACAACTACTCCAGATCCCAGTTCGTACTACCGGTGATTATTGATATTTACTTGCCAAGTTTGTATTTGTTCAAATCTTTAATCAAATCATGTTCAAGTTCGGTATTATGCAGTATCAATTTCAGTACTTCAATTTAGGTGAAAGTCAAGGTAAATCTCAACCAAACAAATTGACGAGATCCTTTAGATTTTCAAATGTTACTGTTTAAAAACTCTTCTATTTGAAGAACTTTGTTTATGCGGAATAAACTTCCTGGGAACGTTTTTCCAAATGAATGTAATCTCCAGCAATTCAAATCCAATGTGAATCACTATTTTAGCACAGGCACCGCTCAAGGCAGCGCCTTAAGGTTCCTGTAGTGCTTGTGTTTTGTCCTTAAAAAAAGACTTATTTAATTCTTGTAAGAAGTTTCAACTTATAATGAAAATGTGGAGGGATTTTTAGATTTGGATGAGAACAACCAAGTTGAATTTGATGCTACCAAGTTTTCTGTAAGGAGATAAATGTGACAGAACCAGACAGATACTTCTGTATGTATGATTTCCATAGTCCCAAAATAGAAAATTAGTTTAGGCATTTTGACATCAGTTGTAGGTGGTGCACATGAAAAGTCTGCAAAACTTAAAACAGTAACTCAAGGAAAAGATTTTTTTCCGAAAGTTCTTGTAAGGCATTCATGAATATATACACTAATTCTAGAGTCGAGTGGATGAAGGAGGTAATTGACAAAATATTAAAATGGAGAAAAATCAATTTGAATTTTTAAGAACCGTTTTTGTTTGTACTCGTTTAATGATTTTATGTTTTTTTTAAACTTTGCCCGTTCTTGGGTTATGATGAAAAATTTTCTCTAACATTAGTTGAAATTTAGTAACATTTACAAAAAAAAACAATTTTGAAAATAGGTGCAATTACCTCATTCATCCATTAAGTATTTTTACACGAAACAAATCAGCTTCAATTGAAAAAGGGGGTAATCATACTAAAAGTTTTCCAGGTCCACTTTATTATAAGATTAGAAAAAAACATGGGTAGTATGATCCATATTTGCAGACATGTATCCATTTTAATCCGTCTCAAAATGGAACGGTTTCATTTACTGTGTTTTTTCTACCATTAACTAAATTTAACTTAGAGGCTAAATCAAAAAATTTACGAAAGTGTTGACGCATATCTGTGATGTCTTGATTGACTTATTATAGTTCGATAATCGTCAGGTAAGTATATGCTTTCATGGCAACGTGAAATAACTATGGCCCATTTCAGGAAATTTATGGTCAATAATTTTCACTGTGCCTTTAAATATTAGGTACTGGTATAAACATATCATTCAAAAGTTTTTATTTTGACCTGTACGCTGTTCTTTATACAGGCGAATTTTTGGTAAACCTTTAAATTCCCATTTTCACCAATATTTTTTCACCTTAATTTTTGGTTGATCTAAATATTTCTATTGCTTATTTCTCGAAAAGAAGGTAATCAGTATTAAAGAAAAGCGATTTTATTATCGAATCAAAATTAAAAGAAAACACACTTGCACTATTTGACGTTAAACTACTGACCTGTTATGTTAGTAGATAAAGGAGACAAGTGTGAGTAAAACTGTGACCCCTAATGGATAAAGGAGGTATCTAGTAGTTTCAGTGAATAAAAGGGACACGTGCGTTAGATACATCTTTCATTCATAAACTTGTGTTATAAAATATGCACATACCTCATTTTTGACGTACGTACAAATTCTCTTTATTTTTTATATTTTTGCTGCAAAGTTAAAGTTAAGTGACAAATTATCACTTACTCGTTTTATCTATAGGGATAAGTCGATTTTTGACAAAATGTTACTTACCTCCTTTATTCACTCGACTCTTCAATTGTAACCAGAATATTTTCTAAACAAACGCCGAATGAAAAAATGGATAGGATAATACAAAAAAAAATTCATTTCCGAAAAAGTGACATCTTTATGTGAAGGTGATAAATTCCTGTACGGCTCGCATGAAATTAACATTTGGGCGACACAACAATTATAGCGGCCATACAATTTTAAAAAGCCATTTTTATACTACAGTACGAGTCTCTGTTAGACATCGTAGTTCATCCCTACTGTAGTCCATTAACTGTTTGGTATCAAGCTTCGAAGGGTGAATAAACGCTTTGGAGTGAGCCAATCCTGGAAGATTCTGCCAGAAGTCCATAAATCTTCTTGCCATATAGGTGTTCAATCTTTGTTTGGCAAAGCCTAAAGCGATGACAATGACAGTTTCTGGTCCGATGAAGCTGCATGCAAGGGAGTCAGCAGCCTCATTGCCTCCCAGGCTAGTATAGCCAGGAATCCAGACCAGAATCCAGGAATTCAAGAATCCAGACCAGACAATGTGTTGAGTCTTCCTATCGAGGAGAGTCATTTTTGGCAATTTGCTCGGTAGGAGCCAAGAGCTTCCAACGCCGATTGACTGTCCGAGAATATTTTTATTTATGTGTGTATGAGGTTGGATTCTTCCAATCTCTCTGCTCACAATTCCTAACAGAAGTTGCTTCACTCAAAATATTCTATTCCAAAAACTATTAGTCTGACTGCTGTGAAATGTGTACACATGTCTTCTGAAGTTTAAGGTAAATCAAAAATCATATGGGCCTAATACAAAATGCCTTGAATTTTTCACAAAAGATGAAGATGGTTGTATAATTGGAAGTGAAAATCTGGACAAGTTTTGAATAACTGAATTTCTGGAACTGATCGGTTTGAGCAGAACATCCGTCTTTTGAATTTTGGATGGTCCATACAAGTGAGGGCGTTTACTGTGGTACTGTGTTAGCGATTATCTCTCCTTTATCGAAAAATAGACTTGATGTTTTCCAAAGTGTGGTACTAGTAGCGATTCCCTTATCTGCAGGTAGGTGCTATCTCTTCGTAGGCCGTTCATTGCTTATCGTTCTCTATCACTGATGTTAGATGTTGAAACTGGTTCTCGATCCAGCTATTTTCTGATTTTCCATCTGAATTCTTCTACCTCGGTCTGACCAATAAGGGAACTGGTTGATTCCACTGCAGTAATTATCTTCAAAGTGGGCACAGATGTTTGCGCAAAGGCGAAGTTTAGACCTTTCCGTAACAAGGATTCCTCTGATTCATGAGCTGACGGGAACTTATGTTGATGACGTTAGCGGTTTCGTAGTTGCCCTGTTCTCTTTCTTCACTTGGGCATTGTTTCCTCGCTAACTTTATCCATTTCCGGTTGTGGGTATTATCTATATCTTGGCGGATCTCCAAGTACGTGCTTTCAATCTTGGCAAAGATTGGTTCATGATCCTCCTCCAAAGTCTCTCTTCTGCTTTCTTCGAATCCTTCTGTGGCATCCTGCATCAGAGTTGACCTCTTCCAACGCTGGTAGTTAATTTGCGATCTTATTAGTACTCGGCTAGTGCGGTCCAATATGAGTTTGGCTTTTTCTCCTGGTACTGACGATTCTAGCAGAAAACCTTTGGGAATGATGTTGCTGTATCTCGCTCTGCACAAGGAACTGTGATGAGTTTCTTCCTTGGTAAGCTTGACCATAATCTTCTCATATCCTCGGAATAAGTCGCTGGTACCGATGATTTTAAATATATGAAGGAACAATCAAATTGAAAATGAAGTGAATAGCTGAAAATAACAATTGTATTAAGCAATAAAACGTAAAATGAAATCACATTAAAATTCTTTCACCAATGCCCTCTTCCCTCTCTCCATTGCCGAGCACAAGAGAAAAACACAGCGAGGGGAACCAGGAAATCGGGAATGGTCTAACGACGCATTCAGCCAAGCTAGCGTAGAGATACACAACATATGGAAACCTTTAATCAAGCTGAAAACGGTCAACTTCTGCTAAAACGGTGAAGCCGGTTTGGTCATTGATCTTATTGAGTTTTTCAATAACCTAATTTTATTTAAGATATTTCAGAATGGTTTGATGCACTAGACCAACTGATGAAGCTACCATATAACGAAACGCATATTAAATAAAATTTACAGTGTTTAAATTGTTAAACTATCATCATGGATAACGAGCTATTACTATTGTTGTTTCTGTAACATAGTAACATTTTCCCTCTCTTGCAGAATAATAAGCGACTACAAGGTGAACTCGATCTTCACCATCCCCACCGCCATGCGAGTCTTAAGACAAGCAGACCCCGAAGGAAAATATGGAATAGAGTACGACCTCGCCAGTTTGAGGCAAATATTTTTAGCTGGTGAAAACCTCGACCTCACCACCAAAAGTTGGACAGAGAGAATATTCAACGTGCCGATAATCAATCATTGGTGGCAAACCGAAACAGGGGCTCCCATCACGGGAATGTGTGCGGGCCTCAAGAATCATTGTACTTCCAGAGAACTATCTACTGGTCTTCCCTTTCCAGGATACGACAGTAAGTCAAACAAATCAAGATCATACATTAATATTTCGAAATGAAAGTCTGGTATTATTCAATGTCAGCCGTGATATCAGCCAAGAAAGTATGTGTAAATAGCACGTGCTATCTAGTATGTAGTAGATAACACGTAGGCAGAGGTGTTGGAATGTTATTTCGAGTTTTTCAAGAACCTCTACTCATAACGAATTTTAAACTCGAAAAAACTGCTCAAAATACATATTGAAACGCTTTTAATTCAATATTTACTCATCTGATATTTCGTGCTAACTAAATTTGGCAAAAGACCGATAATATATACAGTAATCAAATGATCCCGAAGCTCTTTAGAAAAGTTCCTTCCTGCCAGAATGACTAATCGTCGGCTTTAACACACTTTGAGCAATTGACAAGAGTATATTTTTTCTGTCGAATTAATTAATAGCTACATCATAAATTACTGACAGTTACAGCTTTTGGTGCGGTTTCTATATATATTAGGTTGTTTCAACAGTTTTGTTAATTTTTATGAGTCTACTTTGAACTGTAATATCGCAATTGAAACAAACATCATATGAATCAAAAGTCGATTAATTTCGTCAGCAAAAATATTGTTTCGGGATTCGATGGAGTTGCCTGGTTCTGATTGGCGAAGGTTCTATCGGTGAGAAAGTTATTGAAATGCTTAAGAAGATTGTAGTCGATTGGCAATAGTTCTGGGGAATACGGTGGCTAAAACAGAACTTCGACGCTCAAATCGTTCAATTTTTGGACGATAATTTGTGAAACGTGCAGACGGTCAGGATCGTACCTTTTCTATTGACCAGTGCTGGCTGCTGCTGATGCAATTTTCGGTACATTTTGTCGGTATACACAATGGGACTCTACTGTGATGGTTTGACCCGGATGCAGAACGTTATAATAATAATAATATTCATTTGACAAATCTAATTGGAATTATTACATTAATTATTGAAAAGCATGAAGGTATCCTAAGTACATTTATATATAGTCAACATTTAAATGAATGTTGAAATGAAAATAAAAATGAAAATGAAATGAATTCATTTCATTCAAGTGATCATGAATTACCATGAAGTAAACAAGTCATCAATAACACATATATAGTCAACAAATAAAAACGATTGCCACTCAGGTTCACATGGAACCTGTCTGTGGAAACAAAAAGCAAAATGGGGATTTACTCGAGCGTCATTGAGACATATTAGGTTGCAAAGCTTAGATGATAAAAAGAAAAAAATGTTATATAATATATACCCTTTCATCGGTGGGTGAAGCGGATATAGATTTTTAAATATGTAAAAAAATACTGTTGCATGGATATACTCGAGCGCATCAGATATTGATAGCATCAATGTCCTACGTATTTTTGATAATGTTGGTATGTTAATCTGATCGTTTGCATGATGTGGGTGGTTGTACGTAAGGGTTAAAAGTGAAAAGAAAAAAATGTAATCGAGCGCGTCAGATTTTCTAAAGGGGTGTTAAGTGCAACAAAAAAAAAAGCTCTCATTCAGTAATCTGACGATTTCGATCTGACGCAAACTCGCGGCCATTATTATAATGTGCAAAAAAAATTCGCCATTTTGAAATACTCA